TTCCTGCCGTGCTGCCTTCAGGTACCGTCTGAGTCCCTGCCATCCTGTCACGCTACCCTTAGACCTGAGCTGCCGTCACGTGGTGCAGAGACTCGTGTTGGTCTTCGTCGGTGCTGAGGAGCACATCTGGGTTCTGCTCATCAGAGGTACCAAACTCAGACAGAAAACTTCACCACTCTACAGTTTGGCTTTTTTCCTGAAAACACGGCTGAGTTAAAGTGTTTTAAGTGTGACATCTTCCTCAATAACCTGTAATTAAGTAGGACCCGTGTAAATGATACACGGCTCAGTAACAGACTGAACTAAATTAAATAATGCAATATGTTATAAAGTTACAAATATAAGAAACAGCCCTAATATCTACAAATACCTCAATGATAAATATCCAGAATATTACAGACGTGAAATCTATATGATTTTTTTGCTGGCAGCCCCGGAGCCCCACCTCCCAACAGCGGCGGCGGTGAGGACCCACGCGGTGACCTGGGCGGCCAACATGGTGGTGCAGGAAGCCATGCAGTCAGCTTACTACGACCATGATGTCAACACGCTGGGCGTGCTCAGTCTGCAGCACAACGGCCGACAGAATGGCAAGACGGACGGCGTGTGCTTCAACACACTGGTGGCGCTGACGCCTGACCACGTCCAGCGCGATGAGGACGGGCGCAAGGTGGAGTGGACACCGACGGGGCAGCCTCCGCGTGTGGAGCACCCTCGCTACGTCTGGCATGAAGTCCAGAAACAAACGCTGAGGGAGAAACTGCTGGAGAAAACCAGAAACGCCGCCCTGGTACCGGTCCACAGCCTGTACTGACCGCCGGCTCCGGGCGTACGGGGACGACACCGACCGTACTCTTTGAAAAGAACGAGAAGTTTTAGGTTTTATTCTGAAAGGCATCTATGCCAGTAACTGCAGCAATAAAATGAAAGCTAATGACTGTCAGGGAATCACTCCGACCGCCCCAGACTGGAGCTCCCGGGGTCGTCGGGGGCGGTCCAGGGTGGGGGAGGGACCTCAGAGCCTTACTGGTCCTCTGTCATGTAGATTACGAGTTACTGATTTGTTGTGAAATTCTGTCTTCAGCTGAGTAAGGACATGTCCAGCATCGCTCACT